AAGAACTTTATAACTTTCCCTAGTAATTGATTATGGGTTTAAGTAATTTTTTTTTTTAAGGTAATGACTTTATCTTCCTCTTTTACTTGGTGTGTTTAAAGAGAGTGCGAGTGAGTTACCTGGCCTCTTCCTTTTGTGAGAAGAGCTGAGGGACTGAGGCTAGCACAGGATTTGTGTGGTGAGCAGATGAGAAGAAAATGCAGCGTAGACCTACGGAGTCTTACGTGGGCACTGCCGGCAGCGGGACGTCGCGGTAGGGTGGGACTCGGCTTTAGTTGGTGTAACTCAGTGTCGGGTAACCCTAATAACACTGCTCCGTCTTCCACTTCATGGGGTTGGCTGCTGTACTGGGGGAAATTGTTCCTTCCCAAAAGCATGCGAGCCCAGGCAGCACAGAGCACTGAATCCAGCTTGGGCACCTGCACACAATAACAATATCTACCATTTGGGGAAAAAAAAAAATGTTGCATGGAGAAAAGTTGTGGGTGTTTTATAGGAAGAACAAGTGCCTTTAAGCTTCAGTTTTGTTCATGGTGACTTTTAAAGATTTAAAAAAAAAAAAAAAAACAACACAAAAACAAACAAAGCAAAAAAAAAAACCCCTCACCTGTTTGGCTGTGCACAGAACCCCCAAATTTCTCAAACCTATCTCAGGAAATAAGATTCAGTAGGCCAATGTGTTGCTAATTAAATTAATGATGCAAACTCTCTGCAGATGTAATTCAGAATAAATGAGGAACAAATGTGGTTCTCTTAACAGGATTTTTTTTCAAAGGATTTTTTTTTTCAAAGTCTTTTCAAAATAATTGGGGTTTCTAATGTAAGCTCTAACATTTTGAAATAAGTATTTGAAGTAATACTTTTGTATGTGGGGAAGGAAACTGGTTTGTCTTGTGTTCATTTGGAAGAACTGAGAGGTGTAGGTCTGGTAGCTGCAGTAACTTAGCAAATTGAACGCGGTGAAGGAGGAACTGTGGAGGATGCAGAAGGTTTTGTTGATCCTTATGTAGAATTTTACCTGTTTGAAGCCAGACTAGATTATACGTGAGTGGTGATGAATAACGCTTTCTACTTCTAATAATACTATGATTATAAAAGTCCCAGTTCTGTTTTTTCTATAAAATTTTAAATTCTGTTTGAATGCTTAAATGAAGATGTGTAAAAACAGGACAGAATGAACCAGCTTTACATCTTCTGCTGTTTTTCCTTGTAGTTAGGCATTTTTGCTGACCGTTTGTCAAGCTTCTTTTGGCCAAAACCTATAGACCCACCAAACCATAACGCATTTACCATGTAAACTGTTAAAACATCCTTAATATGGGGGGAAGATGGTTCTAATCTTTGGTAATACTGGCATTCCTCTGTTCTGCTGTAATTATTAGAGGAAAAACATGTGCAATAGTAGTTAAGCTTTTTACCAGCCCACAGAAGCCCTTTGGATGTTCTCCCAAGGTAATAGGGTATAGTCCCGGCTAGTCATGGGATCCATTGCAGCTATTTAAATCAGAAGGCGGATTGCGCTGTGTTACCTCGGAGGCAGTTTGGCATCGGAGGATTGGGTCTCTTAGCCTGCACCTCTGGAAAAGTAAGTTTCTTACCTGCCAGGTTGTCTGACCTCATCTCTTTTTATGTAGTGGTTTTGGTTATTTTTATACTGATCAACAATGTGGAATACTTTCTCTAATTGTAAATTTTTTTTTTATTTGGAAAGTATTGACTCTGTTTGCCTAAATGGTTGAGTTTAGTTTCTGTCTTAATGAAGGTTAGTATCTAAAACATTCGGTTAATTGTAGGAGTTCAGCAGTACTGAACAGCAAAATGATTCAAGGATGAAAGAATCTCCTTCAGAGTAATGGTACTTGCTTCCTTTCACCTGTTCTCTTATTGAGAATTAGAAAGCACATATCTCTGTAATAATTAAATTTGTGTGTTCATAGATATTTAGCAAGTAATGACTTAGAGGTTAAAATAGTTCTGTTCTATATATGTTTGTGCATAAATCCTAACGATTAAATCACTAAAAGGGCTCCCAGTTGGCTGCAGGATTTTGGTTTTGGTTTCCATAAAGGTGGGAATTAAGTATTAATTAAAAATTTGCTTTTTTGCCTAGTATGAGAGACAGTGGAAACTTCCAGTTACTGAAACTTGGCCAATATAAGTAACTGTATAGAACAGTAATGATTTGATTTTTGTAATTGATTTTTTTTAACTGAGTAACTAGCAAGCTACTAGTTCTTTAAAACTGCTAGACTTTGGGTTGCAATCCAACAGGTTTGTGTTTGTTGTTTTGTTTTTTTAATGGATAGTGACCAGTGTTCACGAACAAATAAGGCAGAAGTAGTTGTGTATATCAGGCAATAAAAGTAGATTTATGCAATTGAATATAAATTTCTTTGGTCTAAAAATTGGCAGGCATCCCAGTCTTTGTAGTTATAGAGAGACTGGACAGGAAGAAAAAAAAGCTATGTGAAACAATGAAGGGGAAAAGTGTATGATAGGAAATTCTTAATTAAGATGGCATTTGATTACCTGCCATAAAAATCCAGTAACTTACTATATTTGATTTGCCAGAAAGCTGAAAATATGCCTACATGGCATGCTCATGATCTATGTAGATCAAATAACATGCTGATTTTTGGTTCAAAAAAACCCCATTCCAGCAGTGACAGCTTTCTGTATCTGATTGCCTGGAGTTAACAGCTACCGTTTTCAGTGTATCTGCAGTTCTTCTGGCTAGTGGTATTGGTTCCAGAGCTTAAATTTGAGTAAAAAACCTAGGAAAACATTGACTATCTTTAAAGAAAGAAAAGGAGAAATGCACACTAAATTAACTTCAAATTAAAGTCCCTGAGTAAGGAATTCTATCATATTTCTGAGCACCTGGAGTGGAAACCCATTTTCTCACTAGGTCCAAATAAGTTTTTTGGACAACTTTGTTGGGCCTCACATTAATTCATGCTTGAATGTATTCTAGTGATATTGTGAAAAGAAATCACATGGCAGTGAATCGTCTGAAATGAGGTTGGAGTTCATATCTGGTCTGAACTTTGGCATTATTTCTTGATGTATCCAATTAATTCATAGAATAACAAGTATAGTGGGTGTCCTGTCCCTCCCAGTAGCTAATTTAGAAAAAATAGCTATGCAAAAAAGAAATAAGTTATGTAGCAAATCAGTTAGTAGCCGTGGTTTCTGTAGCGTATGTGAGGTTTCTGAATCCAGGGTAATAGGTTAGTGATTTTTGGCCTTGAGAAATTGGCAATGCATGATATATATGAATGATGAACATGTGTTGAATATGCCAGCACCAGGTTAAACTGATGGTTTATAGTTATGTGAAAAGTATGTGTGTAAACTGTGGTTAAAATAAATAGAAATTTAGAGAAGGGTGAAAGTAACCAAAGCCTCATGCTACTTTCTGTGACTTTTTTTTTTTCAGTGAGGATGTGGTACAAAAATAAATGCCAGTATCTTCATACAAAAATTGGGGATTTAAATTTTATCAAAATCATTAATTTAGGACTTAGCTCTTAAAAGCTCTACTTGAAATCAAGAGTCCTAGAAGAAGCAGTGGAAGTGGTTGAGTTTGCTTAGATGACGCAATCGTGGTGGTATAAACCTGTCCCTTCAGCCCTACCCGTTTGTCAAGTTTTCTGTTTTGTTTTTAAATAGAGGCATGGTCTATATGGCATTTCAAGATTCTTTGTAGTCCTGTGTCTTACTAGTTCACATACCGATAATCATACCATATTGTGGTATCTTAGGCATGTATTGTAGATAAATTCAAAAGTACAAGAAGAAAGTCATTACCTGCTTCAAGAACTTAATTGCTTCAACTTCTGTTTTCAGGAAAAAAATAGTTTGAGTTTCCTTACGTTATTTCTAGTTAGTATTTTGTTGTGCAAGATCTATACCACATGAAGGTAGTGATGCTGAACAATTAACATATAAATAAATTAGCAATTATCACTAGCAAAATCCATAATTGGCTTCACCCATTTTGTCAGGTATTTCCAGTTTTTAATTAATGCTTTGCATGTTGAAACAGAGCATGTCCTTTATATTTCTGGGTTTTTTCGTTTCAGTTGTTAAAAAGGATTGAATTGTTTGTTACTTAAGGAGAGCTTAAACTAAATAACTTTATCTATAAATTAAACTTTTTTTTTTAACTGTGACTGTGGGCTTGATATCTTCTTTGTTTGAAGTGTGTGAAGGGGGGGTAGGCGAATACTAGCAAGTATTGCACTCGTTTAAGAGCGTGTCATTTATTTGCTTCTGTCCAGATGCATGCTGTACTTTTTTGCCTCTCGAAGGTGTTATTTTTGAAATTGATCCACAAATATTTTAATGTACAGATCTACAGTTTCTAAAGTACTTGATTAAAGTTTGAGTATTCTATTTGCTAGATACTTAAATAACTTTTGATGCAAGCAGATTTTTAGAGGAATCTAATTTTTTAAGGAAATAAGTAATTATTTTTGTGCATAAGAATTCTGTGGTATGTGTTCTCCATTCTATCTGGTCTTGCACTTCTCCCTCTTGCCCCCAAAAAACTTGAAATCACTTTTGAATGTTTTATCCTTAAACTGCAAATTAATTTTCAGCAGCAGATTTTAGGATTGCAGGTTTCTGAAAAGCATCTGCAACATAAATTTTGTGCATAGCGGAAGAGTTTTACGTTAGTGTCATCTTGTATGGATAATATCTGTAGCTTTTAAAGAAGGAATTTTAAATTAATTCCAATTAACTATGGAATGGCGTTTACAAAGGGATAAGCTACATGATACATAAGGGAGATGCTAAATATAACTACTAAGTAGTATTTGTTTGAAACTACGATTTTAAATTAGAGCAACAAGAACACCAGTTTTCATTTGTGTGCTCTGAAGTGTAAATTGGTCAAATTATGAACTCTTCTTATTTTAAATTGTTAGGTCTTAATGTTATTTTTGTTTTTTTTCCTCTCTTCTGCATTCCTCTTCCTTCCTCTCTCCAGCTAAATGGCCTTAAAATGGCAGATGAGCCTATGGAAGAAGGTGAACCATATTCCTACCACGTAAGTATTTTTGATAGATGTTCAGTTGAGACACTCATTAGCATGACTTCCTTTTGAAGCAAAATTTATGCATTCCCTGCTCTTTAATAACTTTTGAACCTATCATTTTATTTGACCAGATCTGAAGAGGCTTTAAGTCTCAAAGATGATTTTGAAAATTAGTACCTGGGTAGGAGCCTTAAGTGCCTTGTTTGGGAAAGTTTGCCGCATGAGGCAGTGCTTTATGGAAAACAGATTCTGTGTGCTGGAGAGAGCATTTACAGATCCCTCGACCTCAGAAAATGCTCAGTTCAACCTTTTATACACCATGTGCTTAATGTTGCTCTTATTACACTGTCATCTGTTCTTCCTTAGTATTTTTTAATGTAGCTGCAGTACATTTGTCTAGAAGGTACTTAATTCCTGCTATTTTAGAACAGAATTAATTTTTACACCAGTATGTTAATTTGACTCTTATGTAAAAATATCCCAGATAAACCCTGTTGAGCATGATTTTTGTCCAGTGCCTTGGTGATGTGCATATGTAGGAGATGCTGAAGATCAGTGTTCTGTATGCTGGCTAAATCTTGGACTAAACTTCAGGCTAATTCTTTATGTGGTGAAATGCCTGACTTTGCATGGAAAAATTGGCCATCATTTTTCAACACACACATCTGTATATTTTTAAACAGGATCACTGAAGAAGGTATCAAATAGATCTTATTGCCAGCCGTAACCACTGCTTTGTATTGCAATAATAACTTTTTAAGTAAGTGATTTGGACAATAAACTCTTGGGGGTAGAATCATGTGGTGCTTGGACAATTCCTGGTGTGGAGTAAGTAAATAAACCGCCAGTGTCATAGTCATCTTACATGTAGCAAAGAAAGATGAGCAATGGGTTGTCTCAATCTTTCCCTGTACTTGAACCAGAAGGATGTTGCTGAGCTTGTTTGTTAGGTGCTTGGAGCTACATACCAGTCAAGCTGTAACGAAGTAAGATGGCACAAAGCCATAACCGATTGCGGCGTTTCTTTCAGTGCTTTGTCTTCTGTTGAACCTGCTGGGAATTGTTACCTCTTTTGCAAGGCGACTCAGTGGGAGCTGGTACCTGAGCCCTGAAACAGATTTGCTGCTCAAGCAGCAGAGCACAAAATCAGATAACCAAATTTGCAGTTCATGGAGGCCAAACTAGAAATGAAAATGAAACTGGCTTATATATCTGTTCAACTCTTTACCTGCTCATTTCTTGTTGGTGATGCAGAGGTCTTTTTATACTTCAGTCATTTCAGATAGTGAAGTAGGTGAAATTTTATAGACATCTTTTCTGAAGGTAAAACAATTTATAAAAAATAACTCATTTCATACATCTCAAGTTATTCTTTATTTGCATGGAAAACATTTTTCTCCTTAGTTCACGTTTAGAAGTTCTCTGTCAGTCTCTGCAGCAACCACATGTGATGTCACAGGCTAATGACTCAAGGTGGGTGATAAACAGAAGAGCAGATGAACTCTTAAAGATCTTTTCTCAGGCAAAGGTTCACAGTGTTAAGGAATACAAATCAGGATGTTCAAGTAAAAAGGTTTCTAAATAGAGTATTTACATATTTCATAGAAAGAACCAGCCATTAAGTCTGTTGTACAACTTGGTGTTTAACTAGAGGAGTCACTGCTTTCATGTGTTGTCAGATGACTTGAAATGCTAGTGTTCTTACCTGCCTGAAATTCCAAGCATGTGTTTAAAAAATAAATAAAAAGTGAAGAGATATGTGCATCTTTCATGTGAATATGAAATGGACATTAGGAAAAACTTCTTTACGGAAAGAGGGGTCAGGCGTTGGAAGAGGCTGCCCAGGGAAGTGGTGGAGTCACCATCCCTGGAAGTATTTAAAAGACG